CCTCCTCCTCCTCCTCCTGCTACCGGTGCTGCCACCTCCCTCCCTCCCTCCCTCCCTTGGTTCCTCTACGCATGCGGAGACGCTTCATTAAGAAATCCGCCGGCTCCCGCCCGCCTCCCCTTGGCACCCCTCGGGCGTCCACGTGACACGCCCCGTGCACGTGACGCCCAGTCCTGGTCTCCCGGGATTCCCTCCCTGCGAGGGGGGTGGGAGGGGCGGGGAGAAAGGGAAGAGGGCTTTGCTGATTGGCTGCTAGAAGAGGCAAGGAGGAGGGAGCTGGAAGATTTAAAGGGACAGGGAAACGCCCCCCTGGCAGGCCCCTGGGAAGGAAAGGGAAGAGGGGGGCACTGAATTTGGCCGACGCCAAGGGGTCTTGGGAGGCGAGAGCTGGGCCTAGGGCAGGCACCTCCCTGAGGTTTAGGATGTGTGCGGGGCAATTCGAACCCTGCCTCAAAGCCGCTCTGGTGCCTGCCGAAGTCTCTGGATTGGGGTTTGGGACTAAGGGTGGAGGAGAAACGGGATTTTAAAACAAATAAATAAAGCTGCAAATAGGCGGGAACGCGTGGGTAAGGCATGCGAAGCTCTGGCTCCGTCTCCGGCGAACTCCCCGCCGGCCCGCGCTCGCGCTGTTGTAGGGAACCCAACGCCGCACCTCGGCTTGGATGCCGACTGACGACTACGTTCTCCACCCCCCACCCCCCCCACTCTGTCGCCTGAGGTTTTCTCGAGGTCTTCCTCCTGCGGGTGGGTGGAGGGGGCTGGGGGAGGAGGGACGTGTTAGCTCCCAAACACACCCATCAGAACTCGATGGGATGGGGTGGGGGGACATGGTGGGGTGTTCCCAGTGAGAAAGGATAACAGGAAGGGAGTGAGGGTGGGCAATAGACTAGGCTGGAAATCTCAATGAACATTAAAAAAAAAGTCTTAGAGTGAGATTTTTCAAAGCAAAGTGTGTGTGTGTGTGTGTGGGGGGGGTGGTGGTAGATTCGGTTTAGGAGAGCTGGCACGCCCCGGGTAAGAACCAGAGCCAGCGATCCGATTCGGGCTCAGTGTACACAAGGAAAAGCGAGAGTCCCGAGAGCCGGCGCTGCCCCCTCTGAGGGACCCTCCTGGCACCATGCTCGGGCTTCAGTGCCCTTGGCGGCCCAATCTCAGCCCTGTGAGAGCGGTCTTCCCTATGGGCGCTGTGCTGTGCTCGGGGTGCTGGATCAGGAGATCCGACAGAGCCTAGCACCCAACCTAGCACCCATGACCTTCTTGGGGCATCCTCTTTCACTGTGGAGTCGGTTAATGCTCTAACACCAGGTCTCATTTCAAAGAACAAACATATTAGGACCAACTTACTACATTTTCAAATTTCCCCTCCTCTTTCCTCCCTGTCTCCCAGTTTGTTGGGCCTCCTCTGCCAGATTGAGTCTCCGCCAAGTCACCACTTTCTAAGGCGCATCTTCCCAAAAGGGGACCCAGGTCCCTGCAGCACAAGCCCTCTCTGACACAGGAGGAGAGAGAAGAGGGAGAAGAGGGGATAGGGGCGGCAGCCTCTAGCGCTTTCCTATCTCTGGCATGGGCATTAAAAGCTGGGTGCTCGCCTGGTCAGTCTGCGCAGCAGGCCGTGGCCACACAGTCGTCCTCAGCCAAGCCAAACCGGCCCCAGAAGACCCTTCTATCCGGAGGCCAGCGGCGGGTCCGCTCAGATTTCAGCCTCCAGGCTGCCTGCTGGGAGAGGGAAGGTGCTTGGTGGTCGAAGGTGGAGAGAGCATGGGGGACTGATTTAGGATGTATGTGCTGGAGAAAGGTCATTCTGATCCTGGTGATTTTCGGCCGGGCCCGAGGGTCAGCGTTCAGAAAGAGGCAGCGCACTGGGCTACGCCGAGGAAGAGGAAAACAACAGAAAGCGGTCTGAAACATCATCAGGCTAACCCTTGTGTGTTGAGTACAATAATGGTGGCGAGAGGAGCCCAGCAAAGAGCGAGCAGCCGGCTCTTGGCTAGAAGACTGGCTTCCTTAACGTCGGAGTCCAAGGTCAAGGTAAAACGAGGAGAGCAAACAGGGTCTGGCCTAGTCTAGACTGGGTTTGTGACCTTGGCCTCGGGGTCTGCAGGCAGCCCACTGGCGGGGGTGGGTGGGTAGGTGGGGGCGGGTATGTGTGCCTCTGAATGCTGGTGCCCAAGGTAGAGGCAAGGCGGGACCCGGCCAGGGCCTTCTCTGTGAGGTGCAGGGCTCACGTGGAGAGACAGACGGGGGAGACGTGGATCGGATCGGAGGGGCCGCCAGCAGGAACAAAGGATTGAAAATGTCCATCTCTTTCCTGGGGCTCCCTCCGGGATGCAGGACCACTCCAGCCCCAAGCGGGTCCCCCTGTGGCCAGCATCAAAGGGAAGGTCTCCCCCTGGCCTTCAGGATGGGGACAGAATGTCGGGCAGAACCTGGGTGCAGGCAGCTCAGCAATAAAGAAAATTAATAGTATGTTCTTTTCCAGGTTTATGTAAGGGCATTAAATAGTCCTATTGCAATGAGATATAGATTTAATTAAACCGGCAACTTTACAATTCCATTTATTAGGGGCACTATGCGGCTAAACTATAGCGGTGAGAGCAAAGAGGAAACCTAAGAAGTCGCCTTGGTCCAGAAGATTCAGCTCCTGGAGCGACTTGCTGGAGTGCTAAGGCAGGAGGGGAAAGTTCCAGGCACAGGGCGCGAAAAGTGGCTGGGGTAGGGAAAGGCCCTCCGGTCCGGACCAATCCCTCCCCTTCAGCTCGCTTCTCCCAGACCCTCCGCGCTGGCCCTCGGCGCGCTCCAGGGCTCGGGCGCAGCGAAGGGTCTGCGGGCAGGCGGTGCGAAGTAGAACCTAGTGGGTTAATTAACTTTAAGCCTGGGGTCCTTTCCCCCGCTCCCCGGAAAATTTTGGATCTCGCTGAGACACAAATAAAACCAAATTAAACACTCCAGGAAAATATGCACCAGTGGAAACGTAGTAATTACATCCCCAAGGCGATCCCGCCCTAGAAAGCCAGGCGCTGAAACCTCGGGCAGCGGCGCGCTCACCCCCCACCACGCGGCCACACCTCACCCCGCCGGGCTTGGGGATGGGGCCGTGGAGCTCCAGTGTGGACAAAGTTTGGAGGAAATGAAAAGAAATGAGAAGGCGCGAGGGTCCTCGGGCTGCGATTGAGCGACGGGCGTGGGAGGAAATGCGGAGAATTGAAGTTCTACTCCACTAGGATGGCGCATGGTCAGTCTGGAAGCCACGACAGGGCTCTACGCTGCATTTTCGAGAGACTGTTGTCGGGGGGCGAGTTGGTCGGACAGGCGGGAGCCGCTAGGTTCTTAGCTTTCAACTTTAGAAATCCTTCTTTTCACAGCTGTAAAGGAGAGATTCAAAGCGCCTTCTCACTGGAAGTGTGTGTGTGTGCCTGTGTGTTCACGCACATGTGCAGACGGCGCGGCCAGTTCCGGCACATGCTCTCACGAACACAAGCATCAGTGTGCTCAGATGATAACCAGGCAGCATCTCTCATCTCTACGGAAATGCTCTCTATGCAAATAAAGATCTCTGCTTGCCTGTTTATCTCTCAGCATCCGTGCTTAATGGCTATTTACATGCTCAGCCTGGCCTCCACTTACAGATTCCTCCCCTAGGAAAATACCTGGAAAATAAAGAGACAGATGTCTCTGTTTTTCGGAAGTTGTAAGGCGGGATTCCTGCCTGGCCCAATGCAATGTATGAAAGACCTAAGTCAGATGTGTAAATTAGCAGCATTTGCAGCAAGAGGTAGCAAGCTGGATGGCCGCCTTCAGGGCGTGTGTAGCTTGAATACCAGACCTGGGAGAAGGCTGAGGGAAATGAGGTTGGGGAGTCACCTAACTCCACTCCTAGAACTCCTTCTCTGGACATTAAAATATCAGTTGGTTACCCTTGCCTTGGCTCCATTTCCTCTATATTGCCTAGGACAAAAAGAAAGGAAGAAAAAAAAAAACGACGTCCTGAAACTCCTGCTCCCACTTTCCCCACTTTTTATGGGAGAAATCCCACTTCTGAAAAAGGAAGGGGGTGGATGGGTTCAGGCTGTAGGAGAACAAAGAGCCTCACCACCATGGGGTCTGTATTCTGGCCCAGATTTGGGGCCTTGACAGGTAGGCATAGAGTTTGGGGAGCCCTTTCCTGTCCAGGGTTTGGCCTACCGAGTGGGAGAGATGTGTGTAGGACAGACTCCAGAAAGTCCCAGCTATGCGGGAGAGAACTTGAGAGACCACTTCTAGGAAGAAGGTGGGGGTTCGGTGAGGCATGATGAAGATGCACCTTTGAGAATGTATCTGAGTGGGGACACCTTCCTAGGGTTCCAGGTTCCAGGGTGGGAGGGAGGGGTGGAATTCCTGGTGGGCTACAAAAGCAGTACTGAGGGGAAAGGAGGGAAAACGTGGCTCCCTGGCCCTGCCCAGCCCCT